GTCCACAACACTCTCCACACCAGACACTTAACAGGATGTTCAGTGCAAAGAGCAATTCGGCCATTGCCTTAATATCTGCTCTTTCACCCCCATGCGTCCAGCTTCGTGTTCATGCAGCATCCCTATATTACGCTCTAAAGTTTACCCGTGATATTTTAATTTGCAAACTGCAATCGCACTGCAAATAACTATTGCCGCAAGTATAGATTAAGTATAACATAGGGTGCCTGTGCTAATCTGCGTTAGGCGATTGCACTACTCAAGTTTTAATTCTTACCAAACTGAATTGTCATGGGTATGGGGGGAGGGGGTGGAGATGCAAATATTAAAAAACGTCGAGTACTGTTTCCAAATAAGATCCTGTTAGCTAACGGTCAAGAAGGGTAGCAAAATCAGAATGATGGCTATTACATTTTGCTCATTCTACCTAATCCAACAATGTTTGGTACGCAGACGGATCGATTTATTACAAAATTTAATGCTGGTGGTCAACAGCCCTTATCCCCAGATCTGGAAGCAAAATGTGCAGCGTTCACGGGATTCACGGGACCTACAAACAACTGATGCCAATTGTTATCCTGATGTCGCAAGTCTTTAAAGCCTCCATTACAAAAGACAGTTTAGCCATTATTAGTCAAATAGCTCATAGGAATTAGGAAGGTGACAAAGACGTGGTTTTGGTTTAACTAGGATTGTTGTTGGTGGGAAAATGCAATACTAAACTCAAGACATTTTTAGATGTGAACGGAGTGAAATCAGTATCTCGCTTAAATTTGAATTATTAATGATTCGACATAGTCTTTTTGAAACACAACATAAAAGACAAACAAAACTGAATTGCATTTACTCACACAGCGGGAGTCCCAGTAAGAATCATAGGCCTCAGGAACTGCTTCAAGAAGACAGGATCGTGGAACAGGCGGATGTTCTCTTGATCTGCGTTCCGACCTTTCCGAATTTTCATTGAGTTCTAAAACTGGAAGCAAATCTGGCACATCCATTACATAACTTTGGTTTTAACTGGCTTCCTTGAATAACTTTGGTCTCCCACAATGCTTTTCTATCCAAGTTCTATCAAAAGCATCGATTAAGTCATTTATTAAGATGTACCTCACTTATAAACATTAACATTGTTATGTTACACATTACATATATTCTAATAGGGCATAATTTCTTGGAACCGTCAAGCTAGGTAATCATGGATGCGAGAAGATATCTGCACCCATCTCAATGTTTGTGACATGGACTTTACTGACAAATTAATGCAATTAATAAAAGTTAAAAGCCAATAGTCATTTACTGCTCAGGGAAAGCAACGAACACTACGTTGTAAGGGGGCACCGGGAGGGTTCAAAATCTCCGTTAAAATTGGTATCACCTATAAATTTGTCATGAGACTTATCTACCTCATACAGCTGACATTAGACTCCAAAAGGTTCGTTGAAAACCATCTTTTCTATGAGCTATTTGAAGGTCTGTCAAAATTTTCCCATGAACCATGATAATGAACAGCCTAGTGGTGAATTGGATCAACACACAGAATTCAGCCCACTTTTTGGAAGGAGACGCAGCAAAGTTCTGACATGCACTTGGGATTCATCTGCTATGACCTGAATTTGCACCATTAAAGCAACCCAAAATACCACTTAAAGCGATTGAGTGCAGTCATCTTTCTCTAAGGATAAATAAATAATAGCCTTAAGGATTGGGCAAACAACGTTTAAAAAATGCGTTTGCACACTTTAGTGTATTTACCCGGTATTTGAAAGGAATTGCGTGACTCTTTTTTTTCTATTGTGAGTTGAATGCGATGACGTTTCGTGCAGAGTTGTTCGATTGTAGTTTCATGAGGCTGCAAAGCTAGGGAGTGTCCGTTTATTTCGATGATTTTGTCACCGATTTGCAGCCGCTTGCTTCTGTCGGCCGGACCACCTGGAGTAATTGATTCTGCAAATTAAAACGTTGGTTTCGTTTCAAATCCAGGACACATTTTTACAAGTACGTACATAACTTGAGTTGGTTCTTACTGACCTGCAGCAATACAACTGATGCAGAGATCTCACCCCTCATTAATGTCAAGGCAATTGCACGCGTGCTGCTAATAATTAATGGACCGGCCTTGTACCATCCGCACCCCCTCTCCTTGAACTCATAGACTTAAAGTAGAATAAATCAACCACATTCGCATCTATCTGAGACTGGGTGACAGTTATAGGTAACCGCTTTACAAATGGTAAGCATCTTGGAAATATCATAGAGTTTCGTTTACGGAACTTTAATTTTCCCTACGTGGTAATTTCATGCCACATACCAATGTGACATCCCCGGTGAGGACTGAATAGTCGATCAACGGAAAATCCAAAGCTCTCATCGAACCGTCGGTGAAGTTCCACCTTGTAAATGAGCGGAATCGGCCTTGTAGGACGACGTGGGGAAGTGAGGCGACGAATTGGGGAACTGGAGTTGCTTTGTGGCGACGAGAGTTCTAAAATATAGAGAATCATTATTAATTTGTTGTTAAAACAGGATCAAAAGCATAATAATAACTGTCTCAAACCTTGACTATATCTATTTAAAAGTTGAGGCAATAACCTGATGGCATTTCGAATAATGAGTTCCATCATAAAGTGTTGATCACCCGGGAAGGTCCACACCACAACCATGAGTTCGATATAGGTTGGTGAAAATAATGGTGGACTTATTTTGTTTAGTGGGACTAGTGGGAATAGGACGGTTTCCTGATGTGAAAATTTTTTAATATTTCCAACCACAAGTTCGCAATTGAAGTAGATGCAAGCATTCTTAAAGTGTTATGTAATCGAATGCGATTCGAACTCAATTTTGGGAAGATTAGTCAATACTACTACATCGCTTGTTTGGATTATTTTGAGAACTACCAAAAATTGTCTGCTGCCTCAGCATAAAGCCTGCTAGAAGTAATTAATTCGACGAACGTGTGCAGGGCCAGGATAGATTGGTGTCAGAGACACGATTTTCCGGTTTTGCCAATGGCTCTTTGGGCGGCTCCATTAAAGCACATTTGGAAAAGGGATGGCATAAAATAAATCGAATTTTACTGTTTGTACAAAAATGATTCAAACAAAACAAGGCATTTTTCCCAGCACAGTGTTTCCTAGAAATGAGGTCTGCCGTAATAGATGCTGAAATTCACTATGAAGTGGTAGACACTTGGTACCCATGCAAAAGAGCCATCTAAATATAATTCGGAACTTGCTTTGCGATAGTTATTAATAGCATTTTTGCATTTTTGCAGCGCTTAAACTGCTATATACTGTAGTCAAGTGCATTAATGACAAATGGATCGAAGCCACTAAATTGTCAACAATTACAAGACTTGCTTGAACCCACAGTTTAAGAGAGTACGAAGACGTTTAAATATATATCCTTTTATGTTCATGTGACTTTAGTAAACTAGGGCACATGGATGACTTTGCCTAGCTTGGATGGGCAAGCCAGCTGGTTACCACAACTAATCGAGACGACTTGAGAAATTTGATTTCATTTAACAAAGTACTTACTTGAATGAAGAGATTCTTCACTAGAAGAATCTCCGACACTTCTCGGTTGGCTACTTAGTTGGTGAATTGACGCACAAGTTGGGCTTGAGCCGAAGTGCCCGATGGCAGCCTCATATTCACCGTTTTTCTGGGATGCTCGGTAGCCACGGAGGGAGAGGGTGATCACCAAGTCGAAGGAAATATTGCCCGAGAGGTCGCGAGATAGGGTGTCGAGCAAACGGATTACTGTTTTGTGAGTAGCTCCAAGAACGGAGATTCCATTGATAGCAATGATAAGATCGCCAGGATAGATTTGGCCGCTGTTTTCAGCGGAGCCACCAGGAGTGAGAGCACCCACCTGCACCTTCAAAAAACGACACGTCACTTTCAGGCCACCAGATATTGTCTCAAGTTGTCATACGTAGCAGGCCTTCGTAAAACCAAAAAGTGATCTTCTTTTTCGCATGTGTCCTCAGCCATAAAAAAATAGCATCGGTTATCATCGAAGCGACCATTTTCTACATTGTCCACAGATAATTCATTAAAAACACATTATATATATATATATATTTCTGTGGGCTATAATGGCTGATTAACTCTCTTTCCTTCAAGTTCCTTCATTTTGTTTAAAGTTGGAACCTATTTCGTGAAATATTATCCTCGCCGGTTAAGGCCCAAGTAGAACCATCGGCATTAACGTGGGTACCGATGCGTCACCACTACTTAGGTGAATCATCCCTTTTTCCCAGGACCCGCCCACAAACTGTGGTGTTGCCTAGGTGACGGTTCCCAAAATTAACAATGCCCTGATATAACTACTTGCATTTAAAACTGTTACATTTTAGGTTGTTTCAAGTACGCAAAGTCTGAGGAACAGGCTAAGATGTAGAATAGTAGCGATGCCGATAACATTTAGAAGAGGGGAAAGGCAAAAGTATTGTGCCCACGAAAGATGTCACAAATTACAAACATATCTCTGCAAACTATGCCAAACTGCGAGGTTACTTTTATCCATCGAGTGAGTGAAGATAGTGCGACAAATGGAAGGACATTTAGCCGCCGAGTGGACCCTAGGTAGATCCAACTATTATTTTGTTATTGCGCATGACTGGTTCGTTTTGCAGAGAATCTTTGGCCTGATCCCCAATATAGCAGTAATTATTGGGTGTGAATTGACAGTAAATCCTGTTTACCATAGAGAAGATGACTTGTCCACATTCCAAAACCTATTTAACATCAATAGCGACCGTTTACACAGATAATATTTAACCAGAACGAGGTACTTTAGAGATTTATCTACTTATATTATTATGGATAAATACTAAGTCAGCTTCAATAAATGCTTTTTTAATTATCGTAGTTTTAATTAAATGCACGAACCAACAAACCAAAAAAGTGGTATTGTATTTAACTGATGTTGTTCAAGGCGCTAAGCCAGATTTCATCTGCCTGCAATACCATTGTTCAAAAGCATTCGTCGTGAAATGCTGAGTTTCAACAAAATATTTCTACCTGGGTGCCTTCCTCCGCCCCTCCTATCAATCGAAGTCCAAAACCAAATTTTCCTCGTCGTAATTTAACCTCAAAATCCATCAGTTGAGACCTTCTGGTTGGTTTGTTCACTGGTGATGTTGGTGCTGATATTGGGGGCTCCAGCAGGTCCAGCATCGATTCTGATACTGTCGTGTCATCTCCTTCTGCATTGTTCAGATCGGACTTCTGAGCCTTGAGGTATAGGGATGCGGGCACAAAGTCAGGTGTTTGACAGGGTCCACTTAACCCAATTCCTCGCATCTGAATGCTTTTCAGAATATCCAACTTAACACTAAAGCTAGAGCTTTTCCTTAGTCCCGGAAAGGTCATCACGTTCGAGCACAATATCTGCATTGTGAGAAAAAAACTCGCTAGGCTTTCTTATATTAGCCGCAAGTTACCAGCCAATCAGATTACAATGCTTAGAATGACTGGCCAGTTCTGTGCGTTATTGGAGCGCCATTCACAGGACAGCCTCAAACCTATGAGTGCTGCAAAGGTGAATGTGTACATACTAATCGAGTTTAGGGATGTCGCTTCACAATGACTCAGCACTTCAGTAATGTATTCAGTGACGTCGAAGCTTGTTTGAATAGTGCGTTTTTGAAAGCCACAATTTAGTTTTGAGTGCTTCAAAGAATAGTGTAACGTTTCAGCAATCACGCATGAGGTAGCCACTGGCAGTAAATAGAATCGCATCAAGGACAATTTAGTTCTCACTAAAAAAAATAAAAAGATGTCACATCTCTTTCAGATGCCGAAAAAAGCACAAAATAGCTACAAAAAACGCAAGTGTAAAATTACAAAATCTTATGAGTCAAACAGCAGAAGGATTGTTTTAGTAGATTTAGATTTCAAACGCCAACCGGCAAAAGCTGCAAATTCCGTGCCAACAAACTATCAGAGCAGATTGGAAACGAAATAACTTTATGAAGACATTGAGTATAAATACCCTGGTTAATTTAACACGAACCACGCAGTGATACGTCCTGTTCGTTGTCTGAAATTGAACTGCGCACTGGTTAATGCGATTAAGGAAAATTAGTTGATTGCGAAATAAAGTCATTAAAGCACAAGCTATGCGCTAAGCGTTGTAGTGAGCCGATTAAGTTACCTGAACTGACACCTGCCACAAGAGAGACAAGCAACATAGAGTTTATTACTAGTTTATCATGAACACGAAGCTGGACGCATGGGGGTGAAAGAGCAGATATTAAGGCAATGGCCGAATTGCTCTTTGCACTGAACATCCTGTTAAGTGTCTGGTGTGGAGAGTGTTGTGGACGATAGACCACGATATTTCGAAAATACCCAATAATTTGTTAGCATGAGGGTAGACATGGCAGATAGACTGCAGTTTGTTTGAAAGCGACGACGTGACAAACAAAATCAAGTGTTGGG